GGCGGCACGGGGCTTGGAAGCGCTCCGGCTGGGCAATGGGGAGGAGGGCGGTGGCGGCGGGTCGCACGCGGGCAGCAGCTTTGGCCCAGCAGGCAGCAGCGACGACGACGCGAGCCGCGGCGAGGGCAGCGAGGACGGCGCCCGCGACGGCGGCGCCGTGCGGGCGGCATCTTCTGGCCCCAGCGGACGCGGCACGCGCGGCGGCTCGTCGGCGCGGCGGCGGGACGCCGGCGACGCCGGCGCGGGCGGCGGCGAGGGCGCCGCACGTGCGGTGCAGCAGCGGCTGGTGCAGCAGCGGCGCAAGGCCGAGCGTCTCGTGGGCATGGCCAAGGCGAGCCGCAACAGCAGCAAGGCCAAGGATAAGAAGGCTCGGAAAGCAAAGGAGGCGGTGGCCGAGTGGTAGGGGCCGGTCACACGGTTTGACGTGCATGCAGGAGGCCATTTCTTGCAGTATGGGCTGCCAGGCGCCGCAGAGGCGCTATGGTCCGGTCCCACGTCTAACAACGATCGCTCCATGTAACCAGGGTGTCGCCTGCATGATCCCTACAAAGCAGCGGCGACGTGGTGCTAGCGAGCGGCTGCGTGCCATACTGTAGCTGCAAGCACTAGGATTGGCGCCGCGCACAACGCCTGTGACCTCCACGTGCCGGGAGGAGCAGCTAGCCACCCGCATACTCAGGCAGACGCTCACTGGAAACGGATGGGCAGCCTGGCATCAGCATTGGCCAAGGTACGGCAGCTGCCTGCTGCCACGGCCCCGCCTCTGCTCCATTCCGCGCAAAACCCAAATTCTGGCTCCTTCAAACAGCGCCACCATGATGCAACACCAATCGTGCCCCCTCAGCCCCGGCCCCCCTCAAAAACCAAGTGGCCGCCCGCGACAAGGCTGCTTGGTGGCAGCTCAACTGCTACACCAGCGACACTCTGGCTGTACAGTATGACACCGGGCTTGAGCCTGTGTGCACCACCTCATGCTATGTGCTTGGTCCAAAGCTGCCCGACGCCGCAAGAGCTCTGACAGGCGGAGAAAACCAGAGTGTCCTGCAGCTGCACGTGACGGCCAAAACAAGGTCCACCTGCCACCAAGGCGCCTCGCTGCTTTACAGGTCAGGCACAAACCCATTACTAAGCCCATCATACATCTCGGCAAGCGCTCTTCTGTTCCTTCAAAAAAATACAAACGAGCAGCAAACAGGATATTTGATGTCTCCGACCAAGACACATCACAGCGCCCAGGTGTTCGATACGCCTTTACATGTTGGGACGGTGCGCCAGCTGGCGCGGCTGGCGGAAAGCAGGGGGGAGCGCCGCCGATGGGGCCGGGG